CGCAAACGCACGTACATGCGCATGCAAGGTGATCATGGCATGTTGTCTAAACCATTAACATATCTTTATATTCCAAAAATCAATGAAAAGTCATAAAAATATTAATTTTACGGTTTTTCAAACGTATTGTTGATTTTACGCATTGCCTGTGCGCAAGTGGATGCAAGCACGTCCTTGCATTCAATTTTAATCGCAGTATCATGTAGGACTCCATAATACCTATTCATATTCTAAACTTCATCCTGTTTTGTTGAGAAAAAGAAAGATATAGGAATGTAAAGTTTCAGCCAATCAGATTGCAGCACACGTGGATTTACGTGCTTCTGATAATTCTTATATATCATGCTGTAGATCTTCATAATGTGTGACTAAGTTCAAAATTCCAAAGGATTATGACGTAAAACGAGAAAGATATTGAGACTAGTTTTAGCAAATCAGAGCGAAGTGCACGTGCATGCGCGTAAGATCTTGCAATTTTGACTATGTCATCTTGTCTATACTACTAATATATTCATGAATTGTGCGTTTAAAAAAAGTCCATCAAGAGATAGAAAATTTACGGCTTCATCAATTATATTGTCACTTTCACATGTTGCACGTGCGCGCTCTTGCCAGCACAGGCGCATGTACTTGCTTTCATGAAAATATTTATATATCATGCTGTAGATCTTTATAATGTGTGAAGTGAAATTTCAAAGGTTTTTGACGTAAAACAAGAAAGACATTGAGACTTTAGTTTCAGCCAATCAGAGCAAAGAGCACGTGCATGCGCGTGAGATCTTGCTATTTTGACCATGTCATCACGTCTATACTCTTAATATATACTTATATTATGAGTATCAAAGCATATAATAAAAAAAATAGAAAAGTTACGGCTATATCTATTATTTTGGTCATTTCACGTGTTGCACGTGCGCGCTCTTGCAAGCACGTGCGCGCAAAATGACCTTGGTTCCGCAAATCTACATAACATGCCTACTGACCCTACAAAGGCTTCACCTTAGTCGGACGTGTAGTTTACAAGATCACTCGCGGAAAAGATTTTCCCAGGAAGAAGAAAAATAATAATAAGAAACAGAGTAAAAGCAATATGTTCCCAAACTTCGTTTGGGGAACATAAGTCAATATATGTGTAACCTTTTATAAAGAGTTCAATTTTTAACCTAATAATAAAGAGTCGGTAAACTCAGTTATATGGAAATAAACTAATATACTGACACGAAAAGAAACGCAACAAGCAGTAATCTACAAATTTTTGATTTTTTATCTTATGATTTTTAAAAGCGAATAAAGTAAGGTTAAATTCGTTTTTCAGAACATCAGAGACTTGATAAAAATGTTAAATGTTTATCTGTTTACTTTACTAAAGTAAAATATGACTGTTAAAACACCCCCCCTCCCAGCCATTCAAGTAAAACGTGCAAGACTGCCCTAAACAACAATTGCAGCTTAATTTATATGATACAATAGGTTCATTAATATCGAGATCTTAGCGAAGGAATTATTTTTTTGATATTTTTAAATGCCCTTTTTTCAGATAATAAGGTCGAATTTTCTCTAACTTAGAGCAGTGTAGTCACCCTCGGACTTCCGGTACAAGGACTGTCCTTAATACATATGGTACGTTAGACCTTGCTGAGGCGAAATGTAGTGAAATTTCGCACCTTTACATTGAAATTTTCCAGCTAGAGCAATGGAAATGCGTACATATGCCATTTTCAAGTATAGCCTTAGCATTGTTTCGGGAAACGAAGGTAGAGTTTATTTTTTGAAATATTGCTGCATTACTTATGATGAACAGTAAATAACCCTTAAAACTCCATAATAATGCCAAATGTTTTGTTTAACATGCAAGTTTTGATTTCTGTTAAGCAGACTAAAACTTGACTACCGGTTATGGTATCGTTCAACCGTTAATTTACTGATGTTTACCAAATTGAAGATATTCATAATTCTAGGATACAAAATTCTTTACTTTACATAATTATTTCCCCCTAAAATAGGGTGTTGCGTTTCTTTTGCGTGTCAGTATATTTGTAGAATAGATATTTCAATGAATTTATGACGAAAATTATTTTTGTGCAGATTCTTGAGAAAATGATACAAAGAGGGTGACAAATTTAAATGTTTTACAAATTTCTAAACTTCTAATGTTAGTGCGTCATGTTTATTTTAATTTTTAGTATCGGTAAGGTTTTGATACTTTTTTTCGTATCTCAGATTAAAAGAAAATGTTATTTATTAGCAAATTTGCAAATTTAATCTATCAAGAAATTTGCATTTAAAAAAAAGATTGTGGATTGAGTAAAGGACAATAGATATTGTCTCTGCATGTCGACACATGTACTGAACACAAAAATTGTATTGATTGATTGTATATCGTTTTAGGTCCCTCTTGAAAATTTTTCACCCAGATGGAGACGTCACCATATCCCGGTGAAGGGTTTCAAATTTTGACGTTTACTCGGCACTTAAGACCATTGAGCAGGGAGGGATCTTTATCGTGCCAATGCCTGCCGCTGACACAGGGCCTCGGTTTTTAAGGTCTCATCCGAAGGACCCGCATTTTTCACTTTAAAGTGCCGAGCGCATGGCAAAGGAACATATGTTTCCCATTTTTTGTCGTCTTAGGTCAGTTGTGGCTGAGATTCGAACTCATGACCTCCCGATCACGGAGCGAGCGCTCTACCGACTGAGCTACCGTGAACGGTCTGAACACAAAAAAGTAGAAAATAATTTGGTTATTTGACTCCATAGAATTCTTGCTGAAGTGCCCTGAATGTTTACTGCCTCGGGTGAAAAAATTACTTCCTACCTAATGTTTCTTCAGACTTAAAAAACCGGTCGCGGTAGCCTAGTGGTAGAGCGTTCGCTTTAATGTTCGGGAGGCCCGGGTTCGATTTTCGTTCGCGGCGCCGCGTCATACCTAAGACGTAAACAAAGGTAGTGACTGTTCCCTGCAAAGCGATCGGCACTAGAAGTGAAAGTCACGGGTCGGGTCTTTCGGATATGACCTTAAAAACGTAGGTCCCGTGTCACGGTAGCCGCTGGCACGATAAAGAACCCTCACTGCTCAAAGGCCCTGAGTGCCGAGTATAGGTCTAAATTTGAAGCCCTTCACCGGCATACGATGACGTCTCCATAATGATTGAAAAATTCTCGAGAGGGACGTTAAACAATATTCAATCAATCAATCAGACTTTAAAAACATCAGGTACAATGTTTTTGGAGCTTTTTATATCTGAGGAGTGACGGGTGAAGTTCTGTAGTAAGTCTTTCATTCACATATTCAAACTCAAACAAAGTATTTTCCTCACATGACTGCCCAACTTGTTTTTTTTTTCTGAACGTAATGCTTGGATTTAGTACACCTACTTATGAAACAAGTGTTAACTTATAAGGTTAAGAATAATTGTTTTATTTGAAATTTATAAACTTATAAACTAATATATTCATATTAAACAAAAAAGCTTCATGATGAACGTGATGACACTTTAACTTTTTAATCGTCAACTTTCCTTACTTATGTAGGAATATACCCTCATCACCTGCATTCATAATTTATATATCTCAGTTGATTAAATACTCCAGAGCGTGCTCTACGTATGAACAATTTTTAGGACGAGATAAATCAATGACAAATTGATGAAACAAGAATATCAGCAGTCCAGTCTCGTTTCAAGTTATAATATTGTAAGTCTTGTGGTCGATACAATGACCTTTTCAACGAATAAAAATTTTCATTAGGTCAAATGCTGACTGACTTTTCCACGCTAATTGTTAGGCCACTATTCACGCACTGAGTTGCTCATGGATTTTCCGTCATTTTCTGATGATGACAAAGTGTACTTTATTAGCAATTCAATTTTAAACTTTATAGGGACATCAAAAACAATAACATATCTGTACTAGACCAAGACATTTTCCTGGGACTTCCAAAGTTAAAGGAACTGTAAGTATGCATTCGATGTACATTTTTTTATCATTTAAATTTTGGTGATATAAATTATAAATGTATATTTACATCAGTAAGATTTTTTAAGTAGATATAAGAATTGACGGATACCTCATTATTGTTCCAAAATTAAACACATAAAAACTACGATTATGTATGCATGTAGTTTTATTTGTCATAGGTTTATAGAGGACAATCCTCTGCACTGTGACTGCAAAATAGCAGATTTTGGAAAGTTTGCAAAATCAAGAAACTTGACATTGAAATATTCCAAGGAACCTATATGTTATACTCCCCGCCATATAAGAGGAGCATCACTGCGGGTTTTCTCATTACTAACGATGGGTTGTTTACTCACTACAACAACACCAGCAGCATTGGAAACCTCAGGTAAAATGATTTTATTTTAAGTTTGATAAACTCCACTGAATTATTTGAGAATCCTCATAGACATCCTTAAATAGAAACTTATTTGAACTCAAATGAACTCAAAAGCTCTCATTGGTATTCGAGGTAAGGTATTATCTATGTTTAGAGGCGAAAAAGCAAGTTAAATAAAGGAATTAAGTAAACGCTTATTGATATCTACTAGTAGATAGTAAAAAGTACCAATTACTATGCCTTTATGTATCTATAAATATCATTCACTATATTTATTTATACTTATCTACGTAACTAAGAGCAATAATAAACTTCATATTTATTCTTTAAGATGAGAATACTGTTGTTGCTACCAATTGTGAAAATCATATCATATCTAATTACCTTTGCAAATTGGCGAGGAAGACTTATTACCTAAGAAAACATGAAAAGAAACATCTTAGTATCCCTGAAATAAAATGTGACAGTTTTTTAATTAAAGTTCAAATAAAACTTTCGGAATAATTTCCCTCCTCTTGTACATAATTGCATAAAATCTGCAGAATGAAAATATCTGTAAAATTTTAATTACCTGAAATAACAGCTATTTGTTTGTTTGTTGTTCTTTTATATTAACAAATTAATGTTAGGTGAGGCCTTGGCCATACCGTGCCACTTTATACCTTGCCATAGCAAACAACTTATCTGCTGTTATATCCCTGTATAAATTTACCATTGCAACTTTGCTCTGTAAAAAAAAGCTGACATATGGCTGTCTCTTTCAAACACACTGTTGACCAATGACTTTTAAATGTTTATTTGCTTGTTAAGAATTTTAGTTTGCTTGTGCTCCCGAATTGAAAATGTTTCTTCCAGGTTTTGTATAATGTAATGTGATTGTAAATCATATACATGTACTTTGAAAATCTTTCTGCTCCTCCATTTTCAGCATTTATTCATTTAGGCACGCTAAAACTTACTTTTACAATTTTTTTTGCAGTTGAGCATCGTTCTCGACAGAGTGCCTTCCTCATTTTTTTTTAATTTATGTTATTTCAACATTGTCATTGAAATTTAGTCCCGGTAGCATAGAAAATACACTTCATCTAAGAAATACTCTTGTACTTTTAAGGCACTTACTTCAAATACATACAAATCATTTTCTGGGTATTATGTAATATCATGGGTTTGTACATATCTATCAGTATCTTTAGATGAGCACAAGAGAGTTTTAAAAGAGATGTGTATTTTCTTCTTTAAAATGATTACGAACGAAACTCAAACAAAACATTTAAAATGAAATTCAGGGTGGAATAGGACGCAATTCCGAAATAACAATTTCGGTGACATTAAAATTAAAACTAGTATTCGAACAAAGAGGGAGAGGGTGGAGGGCATCTTATTACCAGACAAGAACGTTTTAATTCTGAAAGTAAGAAATATAACAACATTGCAATATTCAACATATCTTTTCTGTGCGTCCTTGTTCAGTAGCGATATATTTTTTTTTCTAAAATGTGCATTTCATTAGTTTACAAAGGCATCTAAGATTTAGATGGTTTTGCGCTGAATATTTTACCACATGGCATTGTTTCATTACCAATCTGTTATTCACCAGTGTAATGAAGTAAATAAACATATATGAATTGTATTATTTTCAAATTAAAGTTGTATGAACGAAGTTTATCATAAATTAAAAAAAACTTGTGTGCTGCATGAACATTGCGCATGCTTTATCAAAAACATTTATTCATGAATTTTGAGTGACATTACGGTTTTTCTCGTTGTACACATATCGATATTTTCATGAATGCATGCGCCCGGTTGATGAAATGAAGAAAAAAGTACCGAAAACGCAATTTTCATCCGGTGTACCTACATGTAGTTAGAATGAGTAAGAAATTCCGAAAGCGATTTAAGGCTGGTGAAAGAAAGAGAGAGGGAGAACGTTGGCTAAAGAGAAAGAGGATCAACTTTGACGGTTACTGTCTATAAAAGGAATCCAAATCCATATACCATTATCATTATCACGACTTTTTCCCAAACTCGTTCAAAAACAAGAAAAGACCGACTCACCTCGGTTACCATTAAGGTAAAATGTATGCTGTATATTGTTACAAATGTATAATGCTGTTTTGTCACAAACATTTTAATTAAACTGAATTCGAAGCATTTATGGATAAATAAAAATAATCATGAAATTATCTCCATTTCAGTTTTTTTAGCATTCAATGTATTATATTTACTAAATATTTGCAGACAAATTTAGTGACATTTAAAAGAGCTTGGACAGGGTTTGATACATTTTATTACATTTGATTTTGTTCATGCATAGTTCAAGGTCTTGTTTGCTGTAGGAGTATTTTGTTTAAATTCAATTCAATACAAAAATACTTTTAACAAATTTAATTTAATGTATAGCAAAGCCTTATCAAAATAAAAGAGAGAATTTTCTTACGTCTTAAGTTCATCCAATTATTGAGTGCCTTATACCAGATCGCTTTTCTCTTTTATCTGTGTTTGTGTTTGTTTATAGATATGTATCTTGTATCTCAAAAATTGTGAAAATGACAAGAATGACTTAGTGATACTTGTTTATAATGTTCCATTCTCATCCTCATTGTATTCAAAGCAGAAAGTCGGGTAAGTCAATTAAAATACTTATTCGATGATATCATTCTAGATTAGCTTTACCGTATGATATCTTTAATCTAACCTGTTATCTTACTTACTGCTTGAATCCCTGTAAATATATATCTACTTAAAGCTATGTTGCTCTTTTTTGTCAATACCAGATTGTTTGACAATTGCTACCTTGGACATTGAACGTTTAGAAGAACAATCTTTAAGTCAGCCTTGCCTTGGCACTGTCACAAAGATATACCAAGAGGGAGGATAGACCTGGTAAATGTTTGTGAAAATTTATTCATGTGAGAGTATCCCTTTAAAGGTAACACACAAGAAAATAGCCAATCAAAATGGACATATATATAGAGACACATTTTTTTTTTCATTTTTGGCAATTTTTTAGGCCTACAGTATTATTTTGGACTCATGGACTACGAATATCATACATCTTTAGCTACCAAATTAAAGGGAACCTTTTTAGGTGTGCAAGATGCAACCTACTGAATGGTATGTAGGCTGTTTGTCAACATGTAAAATCCATGTGTATTTTGGGCTGAAATTTTTACTCTCAATTGTCTTTCTTAAAGACCGCATTAGGCGCATTTTTTCTTATCTCATTTTTTTTCTCATCATTAATCATTTTTTTTACATGAATTGTCTGCTGAAAGTCCAGTTTATTAATTAGTAAAATAAAAGCTATTTAGAAACATATAGTGAAATTACTTCCTTGTGTGAGATCTATAGACGTACAGGTAACTCTCATTTTGACTACAATGTCTTTGATTTCAGGATAGGTCTCAACTTCTGACACCCGTATATTCGTATATCTACCAATCACTTCTGTTACCTTTGTTGTGTTCATCATAGAGGTAAGAAAATCAAGATAATTATTTAAAATAATTTGAATGAGGCAAATAATAAAAGTTAAAGCATATTTTCTTACTCAGACTTTCACGTTAATGAAAATGTCACATTTCACACATAGAGTTGCATCTCATTTACATATCCAAATTTCCCCCAATAACACAGTTGAATATTGCATGATAAAACATAGCAACAATTATTGTATGAAATGTAATTCAAAAAATACGCATTAAATACAAATTCCATATATCTAAATTAAATACACAAAATAAATCCTCCTTTTATAATCTCACAACTTCATTTTTAATTGTGGATTACTTAGTAATCGATTTAAAAAAGTGTCTTTAGATTTTCTTTATGGTATAGCTTACATCATTAGGATATATAGTATTTTCTTTGAGATTTACATTTTAACAGTTCTCAGGTTTGTTAAGGCAGCACATGGATCAGAATTCGGCAAATTAACACTTTTTTTATAATTTTATAACAGTTATAAATCGGAAAAGTCAAGAATAAAAATTTTGCTATAATTATGAATTCTATAGACTTCAATGGGACTTATTCTACAGGAAGCACATCACCACGACGTCACCACGTGACGTCTATAATTAGAAAATATGCCTAAATGAAAAAGTGAAAAGTTCAACACTACCCCGGAGATAATTAATTTCAATTTGTAATAGTAGTTATGTAATAACATCTCTCTACCACGAAAAGTTATGCTAGAATCATACTGTCCTTACACAGAAATTATTATTCAACACTTTCGGACGAAACCTGCCCAAAATTTTTATATTTTGTTCATAACATAAAAAAATGCATCAATTCCTGTAAACCATTAGTTTCTAGCAGCACTTTCCAGGAACAATAAAATAGGAACTTTAGATATAAACAACAATTAAGTTTCAAAATGTGCGGCGTAGTGTTGAACTTCGCATCTCTTTTGTTACGAACGACAGAGGAAAAGCTGATCGGCAAGAAAACAACCTCGCTGCTTTAATTTTACGAAGAAATTATAGAATTATATAACCATACCTTATTCATAAGCTTTTTTCCCACATGAGTCACACATGACATTCATTCTAAATGCTTTAAACTCCGATTTCTTGTGTTTGTTTACATGAATTCTCGTTACATTTCACTTTCACTCTGCTACTACATGACCAACTGTTATGACGTCACGGGTTTGGTATATTTAACCCCTGTGATAACTACAGAGACCCAGAAACGGCAAAATTCCGTTTATATTGTGACTCTGCATATTTTGATTAATTCTAACGACTCAAATCAATCTTAGATATCGATTATAAGAAATCGTTATCTCTACACTTCACGTCATATAGCTTACTATGACGTCATATCATATAGGCAAGTAGAATATTTTGTTGTAACCTTAACATACCAGCGTTTTTTGTTTTCTTTTAAAGTATTTTTGTCTTTTGTTTTATACGATACTTAAAAAAACTTTTCTGTTGTTTATTTATTAAAGAGCTGTACGGTCTTCTAAAAAAATCCATTCTTTGATGACTGATGGAAAAGCTGCATCACCCCCGCTGCTTAAGACCCCTTAATTACGAGCCATTAATCAGTTATCACTGTTATCAAAGCTCCAAGGTACAATATTGAAGTCTGTTTTGACACCATTTTTTCCAGTCTCTGACTTTGTTTTAGAATGAAGATATACATCTTTTTTCTAATTAATAATCAGTAAAATTTCATGCTTTTTAATTGATTAGAGCTTAATAATTAGAGTTAAAATTTTTTTAAGCAGGTAGACAAAACAATCTTGCATTGTATTCTAACTCTTTTTTTCAACAATTAACTCATACGATTATTTTTAAGTTTAGAAGTTTATATACTGTATATGAATTTGTAAATAAATTTACTCTAAACTCTAATGATCTATTGGGAAAAATTACTTGTATAACCAGATCCACCCGTATATCCATCATTTGTTTATCTACTTGGTAGATCCGACCTTTAGGATATACAGTGTTGTTGGTTTTTTAGTGGTTTTATATCCTTTTTCGCCAACTGTATCTTCACAGATCCACCCGTATATCCCTCATTGCTTTATTTATATTCTCTGTTCTTATCATTTATTTTTGGTTTTCTTTCATCAATTGACTTTTTTTACTATTTATTTTGTTTCCAATCTTTGCAAATAAGTTCTTTCCGCTTTTCCCTTTCGATTTTTGCTCACGTGTCGTTTGTTTTTAATATTTTTGAATTCGTGCACGAGTTATCTACGAAATCCGTTAGAATACAGAACAAAAGTTCGTTGAATCTTTCGACTTCATACGACTAAAAACTTTAAAAAAGTCTTATCATTTTGGCAATTGTAATTTCTTTTCAAATATGTCTATTAAAGATAACCCAACATTTAAACTTCTAAAGAAAGAACATCAAAAATCAATAAAAACCGAACACCGCGGGTCTCCAATTTACAGACCTACTTAGAGTGTGACATTATACCGAAAGGCTTTCAGATAAATGTTACACCTAACCTAGGGCCAATCTCCAAACGCCTTCAGGAACTCTGGGACGTTATCACAAGGAGATGTTCTAAACAATTGATGTCACTCTGTCTTTCTTGGGATATCAACAAGTTAGGACAATTGAAGATTGAGATCGAGTCCTTAGAATCATCCCTCAACGATATGTCCCAGGCCGATCTTGATGAAGCCCATAATATTATAGACACCTATAATATGGCCCTAACGAATAAACTCAACAAGACTCAGAAAAAGAAATTTCTGTCCGCGACAGTGTTCCAAGTTTCTAGGAACAACTGGTCAGAGGTCAGAGTTAACAAAACACGCAAACCCCGCTCGAGACGCTTCAAACGCATTAAGACAATTCCGAGGGACGGACCCATACAAACTCCTGACGTCTGCTCAATGCTCAATACATCTAGTGCTCCTCTCTCCGAATCAGAGACCTCACTTCTCTCAAAGGGGCTAAATTTCTGCCCCACGCCACATGAGGTCGACGAAAAACAAGTCAGAAAGGACACCCGAGCATTCTTTCGGAGACTTTGTTTGAAGGAGCACTTCTCTAGAAAAGACTCCGAAGCAAATTCATACGACTCTTCCAAGCCAGATTTACAGGACCTAGAGGAACACAAACTCTATAAGCCCAAGAGTGCATGGGAACCTACACCGGGCAAGTGCGGCGCGCTTGAGTCGTATATTGATGCCGTTGAGTCAGACATAGAGAAGCTCCTTTCAATGCTAGACAAAACTCCCGACAATTTGAGTAAGGAAGAGAGATCTGCCTTACAATCATTAAAAAATCGGGATGACATTGTAATTAAGAAAGCAGACAAAGGCTCTACAGTTGTAGTAATGGATAAAGAGACTTACATGGCAGAGGCCCAAAGACAACTCTCAGACGAACGTTTCTATAAGAAACTGGACTCTGACCCTACTAAAGAATTCTCAACCGCCATTACCAAAACTCTTGACGATATGTTTGAGAAAAATGAGATTGGTATCAACGTCTATGAGACCTTAAATCCTACTGACTGTAGACCAGGACAATTCTATGCTTCCTAAAATACACAAAGAAGGCATGCCAGGTCGCCCCATAGTCAGCGCAATTGGACACCCCACGGAGAAAATTTCTGAATTCATTGATTTACATCTCCGTCCACACGTAGAAAGTTTGCCATCCTATCTTAAGGACACTACGGACTACATTAACAAGACGCCCTCTCCTGGCCTCCCAGATCATACCCTCCTCGTGACTATGGACGTCACATCTTTGTACACCAATATTTCGCACGATGAGGGTATCGAAGGCTGTAGAGAAGTCTGGGATAGTAGATCCATACAAGTTCCTTCTACCGAGTCCCTTGCTAAGCTCCTTGAACATGTTCTCAAGTTCAACAACTTCGTGTTTAATGGAGAATATTACCTGCAAGTTAATGGCACTGCTATGGGTACGAAAATGGCACCGTCTTTTGTCAATGTCTTCATGGGCAGACTGGAACGCAACTTGTTACTTCAAGCACCATTTAGGCCTCATTGCTGGTTGCGTTTCATTGATGATATAGAGATGAAGTGGGTGGATTGTCGCGAGAACCTCGAGGCATTCATTACGTTTGCCAACACCTTTCATCAGTCGATCAAATTTACAGTAGACGTATCTAATTCGAAAAACGTATTCCTAGATACTACATCTACCCTGATTGATGGTGAAATCGAATTCAGTCTCCACACCAAACCCACAGACTCCCACCTATATCTTATGCCCACTATCTGTCATCCCCAACACACTTTTAAGGGAGTGCCTAAGGGTCTAGCCACCAGAATTCGACGCATCTGTTCGTCCCCTGCCTTATATCAGGAGCAAAGTGGTCTTCTTAAGTCCCACTTATGCAAAAGAGGCTACAATGCCCGCACCGTACAAACAGCTATTGATGAGATGGCGGAACATGACAGGCAAAACCTATTACGCTACAAGGAAAAAGACAATAGCGACAGGGTCCCTCTGGTAACCACATACCATCCCGTTCTTAAGAACCTTAACGGTATCTTTCAAAAGAACCTACCAATTCTCCATTCAAACAAACGAATGGCAGAGGTATTTAAGGAACCCCTATTGGCCGCATACAGACGCCCAAGGAATCTAAAGGACATGGTAGTAAGAACCAGACTAGACAACCCATTACCTAACGGGGGCTTTAAAACTTGCTCTGACAGGAAATGTCTTCTTTGTAAGCACAGCACTGGCACAGACAGTTTTAACAGCCCTGTTACAGGCCGCAGCTACAAAATACTAGGGAATTTGTCCTGTCATACTGACAACTGCATTTATCTCATCAGTTGCAAAGTTTGCTCCAAACAGTATGTTGGTGAAACAGGAGATCTCCGTAGGAGAGTCAATAACCACCGTTCGACCATTAGGACCAAAAAACTCAATGAACCCGTTAGGGAACATTTCAACCTTGAGGGTCACAAATGGGAGGACATGACAGTAGTGGTGATTGACCATAACCCAAGATGGACAGATGCTCAGAGGAAAAGCAAAGAAAAGTTCTGGATGCACAGATTGAAGTCATTCCGCCCAAATGGTGTTAACAAATTGAATGACTTCACCAGAATGAACGTAAATTAGACCCAATTCCTGATCATACTAAACAAAATTATTTTCTCAATTTAGTGTAAACTCTACAGTTAATTTGTGCCACCAACTCTCGAACTCGAACAACTACTTAACTATGTATTGCTTTTGTTAATTATTTTTTCCCGATAATAAGTCCTTAAATATTTCAAAATTTATAATTGATCACAATTCATAAGTTTAAATATCCCTACTATATGATTTTTTTTTTCATTATTCTTTATTAAGTAAAGTTACGCCATTTTGAGAGATTGAAACAATGTACGATTTACTGATTGTCGTAATTAATAAGCATAATTAATTCGTTCAATTATGAATGTCATCTAGAAAGAAATCTATGCACAAATATCAGATATCAACTTTTCTTCCTGCTTTGATGGAGGTTCAGATATAACTCATGAAGAAATGAAGGATTGTTCTTAAGGTTTTAGGTAAGGAAATAGTCAATTAAAATGAACTTAGTCAAATGAAGTTCTATATCTAGAGGTACAATTTCTTTTTCTATTTTTTTTTCTGTTTGGAAGATTATTTTAGGTCGACAGTATAAATTTTAGACTCATGTACTAGGAATATCATTTCTTTAGCAGAATAGTGCCACTGATTAAAGGGAACTATTTTTCAGGTGCGCGTGATGCAACTTATATGATGGTGTTAAGGCTGTTTTTCAACATCTGAAACCCACGTGTATTTCGGGATAGGTATGTTTACTGTCAATTGTCTTTCTTAAAAGCCGCATAAGGGGTATTTTTCTGATCTCAAATTTTTGTCTAAGCATTAATCTTTATTTTTATTAAATGAATTATCTGCTGAGAGTCTAGATAATTAATTAATGCTACATAGCAAGATACATATGGAAATTATATATTTCTTTGCGATAGACCTAAAGCAAAATCAGGTTAATCATTCTTATTACATTTTACTTGATTTCAGGGGTAGTCTCGCTTTTTAAAGATCCAAAATGGCCGTTTTACAGTGCGACATGCAGTCTGGTCATCAACGGAGAGTTTGACACCTGTAATACCCGTACGCGTATTACTACCACTCACCTCTCTAACATCTTTTGAGTTCATCATATTAGGTGAGAAAAATAAGGTTATTGATTAAAATGATTTTATTGAGATAAATAAAATAGTTAATGACAAAAATAACATGAACGGACTCCCTCGCATAAAAAAATGAAATATTTTACACATTGCATTATACATCATTTACGTAAGTATCAACATTTTCCCCATTTACACAGTTGAATATCAATTAGTGCATAATAGTACACAACAGCAATTACTAAATATAAGACTATTCACATAATACGTATGTATTTAACTGTTAAATACGAGGGTTGTTAGAAAATTATTTAGACATTGTGTATATTTTGCTTTCTAATGAAGGTCATTTGCTGAAATTTTGCACATACATTTGACATACACTAAGAATTAATAAAAGCAAGAAATATTTAGCAAATGTTAAATACTTTCTCAAAATGGTATATAAATGCGTCAATAGAAGGGGTACCCGGAGCGGTCATGAAAACAGATATTGAAAATATGTAACGTCAGCGTTCTAACTCTGTGTGGACCTATAAAAGGAGCAATAATAATTTAATTAATATGTATGATTTTTCATCTTTACTTTAAATTCATTTTGTGCAACTATTTAAGAATTTTGATCAGAAATACGGAGATCATAAAAAAAGCGCGATAGAGAAATCTGCTGCTAACAACGACAAAATGGATTTTGACGTCAAGGGCGGAGCAGCTAGCATACCTAAAATTTTGTGTAGCGCAATGTAGAACTCTTTTTCAGATCGAAATACCTGCTAAAACAATAACAACAAGAGAAAATAGACTGTGGTTGGGTTTGTTATTTCGTTGGTTTACATTTTCTTTTTCAATTAATTCAACCAGGTAAAATTAAAAGCTCTGGACGTTAATCAGTTATTATGTACGATATCGATATCGTTGACCCGTGTTACATAAATCGGCACTGCATGATTCTTAGTCATGATTTTCCACATAATAAAATTTAACACTGGGGCAACAACATACATCTTTAAAGAATAGTTTAAGAAATGAAACTGTTTGATTTTGGCAATGTTATATGTAAAAAGAAAAAGAAGGAAAATAATTAAACGGTCCCCGATCGTTTTAAAATGCGAAACCATCACCGGCTGACGTTACGTTAAATGACGTAGCGCTGCTGTTCCGGGTCGAAAGACATATGCATGTTTATCATTTCACCAAAAATTATCTAGCTAATAACCATAGAAATTAGAAATCTGAATAAATGTTTTATTCGTTCTTTATAAAATGTTGATGAATTTTCATGAAATTATCTCCCTCCTTTATGGATTAAATGTAATTGTCTCAATAATTTCAGAACAACAGTCGTACAGATATCACACATTCAATTAAAATACACAACATCAATACCACAGCCCCCCCCCCCCCCCTTCACAATCTTTCAACTTTTTCTTCATTCAAAGTCACTAGGCAACACTGAAGATTTCCACATATTGCTTTTCAGTCCATGACAGGAAGTTGAGGAATCAAGTTGACCGGACATTCCGCACTGTCCTCGGTACCATCTTATGAGGGAACCAACCGTACTGGACATATATCACGCTTCATTATAGGACGATAGGTATGTCTCCGGAGTAGTGTTTGTAGCAATTCTCGTACTAATTGCTTTGGTTCTTCCCAGAAACATGTGACTGGTAGTGGTGCCTATATTCTCATGGTTTTTGTTGCGAGGAACACTTCCTTTTTTGTATTGATGATGATGCAACCATTTTGGTCCCTTTTTTGGCATGATTATTAGTCAATTGAGCACTTGTAGACTTTTACTAACAATATGCTATTGTATGTGGTGTACATTTTTAAGTTTAACAAGTTTTTGTGTTGTTTTATTTATTTTAGAGCTACCTTGTCTTTTAAGAGAAACTCCAAACTTTGATGACTGATGGAAAAGCCTCATCCCCGACGGCTAAAGAACGCCTTATCTTAATCACCAGCCATTAATCAGCGATTACTATTATCAAAAGTCCAAGGTACATTATTGAAGTCTCTTTTGACACCATTTTTCCAGTCTCTGACTTTGTTTTAGAATAAGGATTGCTAATTAATTTCTTGATAAATCAATAAACTTCCTCTTTCTTAGCTAATTACAGGTTATTAATTAGATTTTAAAAAAAACTTGCAAGTAGATAGCCAAAAACACCACATTTTAACTTGCATTTCATTTAATTTTTTTTCTCTCAAAAATGCACTCATTAGATATTTTTAGGTCTGGAAATGAATATAATGAAGAATGATTTGCATAGAAATTTAGACTTAAATTCAATAAATTGTTCGGAAGAGTTATCTCCTATTCTTCATCCCTTAAGGACAGAAAAAAATGGTGCATTAGTATATGAAAGATAAATAACTCAGAGATATTTCGTGCAAATTTCATTTAATTTTAATATCTTTTAGAAGCCTTTAAGATCTTACGTAAGGAAATAGCCAATTGAAATGAACTTAGTCAAATGATGTTCTATATATAGAGAGATAATTTCTTTTCCTGCTTTTCATTTTCGGCAACTCTTTTTAGGTCGACAGTATAAATTTTAATCTCATGTACTAGGAATTTCGTTTCTCTAGCAGAATAATGCCACTGAATTAAAGGGAACTCTTTTTTAGGTGCGCGTGATGCAACTTCCTGGATGGTGTGAAGGCTGTTTGTCAACATTTAAATCCACGTTTATTTCGGGGTAGGTATGTTAACTCTCAATTTTCTTTCTTAAAAGCCGCATAAAGGTTTTTTTCTTATCTCAAATTTTTGTCTAAGCATTAATCTTTATTTTCTATTTCATGAATTATATGCTAAGAGTCTAGTTAATTGATTAATTTAATTAAAGCTATATAGTAACATATAGTGAAATTATTTCTTTGTGTGACACCTTAAGCAATCAAGAGAACTTATTTAAAACAATCTAGGCAAATGATTTACCTCAGTGCTAGGTTAGTTCTTGATTATTTTAACATCAAATTGTAATGTAAGTCTAGAAATACTAATTTGTAAAATTTTATTCTTTGAAAGACGCAACTTACACTTTTTTTTTTATTCTGTTGTAAAGGATATCTTTTCTTCAAGGGTTACCGTTTGAGCTCTACTGGATCGGTGATTAGATACAGAGTTTCATACTAGACCATGCGTGATGTGAATAAAATGTGAATTAGCAAAACATAACTGAATCAATTACTTATTACAAAGTTTTATATTAGACCAGGCGTGAAAAATGGGAATTATCACAACTGGATCAGTAAATGGATACAAAGTTTTATACTAGACCAGGCGTAAAAACATGAATTAGCACTACTGGATCATTAATAAGATACAGAGATTTATTCTAGATCAGGCATGAGAAGTTATGGATGCTTTATATCTCAATGCGTACTTGGTTTTCTATCAACTGGCACCTGATTCTACTTCTAATGTCTCAGAGGTCGTGTTTTCTCTGCTCCTATTTTGTAGTGATTTATAGACTTTGAGATTGAATACTGTTCCACATCATTCATCAACATATCGCGAGATTTTCCAGTGTTAAGACTGTATTTTTTCAGTTATTGTAACATGTGTAAATAGTAATTTGAATATTTTGTTTATTTATTTTTATATCTATTTAGACTTTATTTTCATTCTACATTTTGTGCAATTGCGTCATTTACTTTTCATCTTTTTTTTTAATTTTATTTTCTGTAATCTTTAATTCAAGTTTAACAGGATTGTATAATGGAAAGCTTTGGCATTTTTAAGAATACGAAAGCTGTCTTCATAAACATTGTGACAATGAAAGAATTTAAAGAAAACATGTGAATTATATGAGTGATTTTTGTACCTTGTTACTTTGCTACTTTCACAATTGGATTGGTTTCTTTTGTAAACAAGGAGCATATTTAATATCATTAAAACTTCAAAGAAATAAATAACGTAATACATTTCTCCGAAGTTTTTTTTTTTTACATTTCTTTTGAACTAGATCAAATTGTCCAGTCACAATTTGGCATATGAATTGATGTAACAATTCAATTATGAACGCATAAATATGTCTTCGTCTTTTGCACCTTTTTAAAGATGTACGACAGTGTGCACCTGTACATTTTAGCTCACCTGAGTCGAAGGCTTAAATGCTGTATCTTATAACGAATCATCCCCAGATGGTGTAGATTCAATTTTGATCAAATCATAACACTCATGCGTAGTGTGAGCCACAACTGACGATCAAAAATTTACATAGGAATATATAGGAGAAATCTTTTAAAACTTCTTCCCAAGAACAATTCGGTCAGGAAAGACGAAACTTATGTGCAAACGTCCTCGTTTAGTGTAGAATAAGGTTTATTCAAATAATGGCCCCAATTGGGTTGGGCTGGGCCACAGCTTACAATCAAAGACTTACATTGGAATATATTGAAAAAAAATTCTTTAAAAATCTTCTCAAAAACACTAGATAATACTTATATGGATATATCCTCAAGTAGATTCACGTCTGTTCAGATCACGGTCCGGGGTAGGACGGGACCATTACTAATGATCAAAGTTTTTTTTTATAGGAATAAATGCGCAGCTTGTTTAAGGGCGACCATAGGAAATATGCCTTCAAATATTCCGATAATATAATCAATAATATTTTTAATATCTTTTTTATTAGCGTGAGATTGAATTTAACAGGAATTTTACAAGTGCATATGTATGTATGGGGTCTTAACCGAGTTCGGTCAAAGCGTTTTTACAGCTGTATGTCACGTGACATGATTAAAATTAGAAAAAATAGTAACGAAACAAAGATCGTTAAAGTTCAACGATATACGGATAATTTTTCACCATGAAATAGATTATGTTTTCTTTAAGACATTTTTTTTTACAATTTTTTTAACCCGAAAAGTGCTTGAAATATATAAAATGTAGCCGTCTCTTTTAAAACTTCGTGCATTTACATTATACGCATTGAAATAATGTAAAATTACAGAAAAAATCAACAGCGAACAACTTGCTCCCAGTATTTTTCAAAATAATAACGACAATAGCT